TTTCCAGCACCTAGCATCATTGTTTGGGTGGGTTTTAGTGTTTTTTTTTTTCCCAGTATTTCTAGTGTCAAAACTTGCTGAAACTATGTTAGGCTAGTGGTGGAGTTTTCCAGATTTCAGGGCGACGTGCCTGAAACCAATTCCAGTTCTCCTCTAAGCAGAGCAGTTGGTCAGACTTGCTGGCACTAGAAATTAAACATGGCAGTGTGATGAGGCCGATGAGGTGCTAATGTAAGAGTCAGAGATGCTTCTGAACTTCCTTTATGGCTGCACGGTTCCTCAGAAAGCAGTTACGCCTGCCAGCTCCATCAAAGCCATCCCTCAGATGCTGTGCTGTACAGCTGTGGAGCCTTTGCTCACATGCTCTGCATCTTGCTTGACAGAGTTGAGGGGAATTTAGCCAGCAAGACTTCAGGGCTGAGCTATAGAATGGAGCCATCCTCAACTGCTGGAAATAGAGCAAGTTTCTAAGTTGTGTTTCTGCAGAAACCAGGCAGTGCTAGGAACAAGCAACTGCTGCCAAGAGCTCAGTGCTGCTCTTCCCTCACCCTGCACCACGCACGACTCACAGCATTGGCTGTTTCTCTCTCCAGGCAAAATCCACCCAGCAAGAATGAGGAATCACCAGCTAGCAGTTGGTGTTGCTGCTTCAGCCTCCGAAAGCCATCCTCTGGCAGCAAACGCCAACTGCAGCGCAATGCCAGGCAGCCCTCAGAAACAGCAGTGGTAGTCCTGGCAGGTAAGGGTGCAAATGCAGCTTCCAAATCCCTGCTTTTCAGGAACATACAATTCAAGCTTGCAGTGCACTTCTATCTCCTTCTGGCATTCCAGCCCCTGCCTAGCATCTTCAGTTCACTCCTGATCAAGAACCACTGTCGTAATTCAGCTTGTGAAAGTTTGACACTAACCCCTGTGTATCCTTTCTAGGTGAATCGAGCCCTTGCCAAGCCATAAGATCCAGGGCAAGTAGCGAGGATGCTCTCTGTGCTTCCATCAGTGAAGAGCTCTTAGGAAGCACAAATTGCTGCATTTCTAACAGCAGCCTTCCATCTAACAACATTAATGGAGAGAAGGAGCTCATCGAAGTTCATGCTCTCATTACACCTGGCTCTGCTGAAGTTGCTGACCTGGGCCTGCCAGACACCACAGTCAGCAGCCTGGATTGTAACCAGGAGTCTCTGCAGTGCGGCCCATCCCAAGCACAGTGTGAGTGCCCTGACAGCAGCACCTCCATGCAGGAGCAGGTCAGCGTCAGTGAGGAGGAGCAGAGCCTCTTGCAGGGGGACTTTCAATCAGGCCTCCAGTCCCAGGCACCGGACAGCAGCACTGAGAGCTCTGAGCCACTCTCTCCATGACAAGACAGGATGAGTCCCATCTTCACCGTGGACCTCTCCCACCCTCCTGTCCTTCATATAATAATAAAAGCACACTCGTGCTCAACCAACG